ATGTTGTCTTCACAAAAACCTTATGAGATTGTGCTATTACTATCCCCATTCTACAGATGAAGGAACTGAGGCTTAGCCAAGGTCACAAAAACCTAATATTTCATTTCTGAATATTCTGTCCACTAAAAGATATATTGTAGAAATAGAATAGAGCTGTTTTTAACCTCCACCTCTGTAGCACAGTTCTCAAACATTCTAAATTCCTCTACTCTTTCATTGCAGAGCACATTTCAGATTCACACACTTACCTATACATTTTCTCCATTCCCATTTGTAGACATCTTTTTGAAGAACACATTTTCCATATTTCCTATCAGCCCTTGAAAGTTAGATATGCCTGTGTTTACTCAAAATTTCTATGTCCAGTCGAAGCCTCCCCCTCCATTGACCCGTGTTTGGTGAGGTCCCTGCTTATCCTACCCACTCCATTTGTAGTTTATCTCTTCTCAGCTTTCATCTTTCCAGTCTGAAGAGGAATCTTCTTTGTTAAAACCTCTCCATCTGCTGCAACAGACCCTCTCCTCTTAGCACCCTGAACGTTTTAATGACCTTTCCATGAGCCTTCTACCCGGATATGTCCTTCTTGGGTTACATCAAGCAGACCAGCAATAGCCAGTGTTCCGGGAGGAGCTGGACCACAAGTCTGAACCAGACCAAAGCTGTTTCTCCATTGTTTTTCACTTTCCCTGCTCCCGTCTTTCATGGACTTTGTGGACGACAACAAACACTTTATTTCCCCCATCCCCAAATTATGACCAGTTTGGACCCCATTTTCTCTTCACTACAAAGAGGCAGCAGGCAGGCTGCTAGGCTGTGCCGTGACCAACCAAAACAACTTATTTCATGAAGGGAAGAGCCCAATTACAGCATCTGTGAAATAACCACCAGGTACTTTGATCTCCTTCTGACAACTCTGGCCAAAAGGATGCATGTGCAGAATTAAATGGGAGGAAAATCAGAACAAAATGTACCAGCTATGAATAAACTCAGCTCCTACCTGTATGGTACATGGGAAATTGTAGCCATTCCTTGCCCTTCTCTCTGTTCCAAATAACGCAAAAGAACAGTACATAGTCACTGAAATCTTTAAACAAATGTCACAATTGACTACAGGTCTTATCGTTAACAACCACAATCTTAATTACACTTTACGTTCATGTCACCCATTGCCACCTACAAATCAATTCTCAAAAACACCAACGTATTTAGTCCTGACACCAACATTCTAGGGTGGGTAATGCAGGGATTGTTACTCCATTTTCTAGTCTCAGAGAACTTAAATGATCTGTCCAATATCCTATAGCTGACGAGTCACAGAACTGGAAGCAGAATCAAAGCTTTTGGGATCTAAGCATGGTGATGACAATATTAAACACTACCAAGATTTTACTATGCTCTATGTCCCGTGCTAAGCACTTTATGTAAATTACCTCATTCCATCTTTCCAAGAGCTCTCTGAGGAATGGTAATATTATTATTCCCATTTGACAGATGAGGAAACTGAGGCAAGGGAGTTTAATTAAGTTGTCCAAGGTCTCACAGTCAGGAAGTGGAAGAGCAGGGATTCTAACCCAGGCAGCCTGACTCTGAAGACCACATTATCCCCAAAAGACCTTTATATTTATTGTTTGAGAAGAATTTTAGTTATGTCATGTTATCTATAATGCATTAACTTTTAAAATTCCGACTCAGGGATTTACAGGAAATATTTTAAATGATGGTAGATAATTCGGAATGCACTGTAGGCTTGATTGTATTTTGTATAGTCAAAATATTTATCTCAGATTTAAATACCTTAAAACCCATGTGCTTACTAAACCTTTCAGAGTCTAACATTGTAAAGATTTGAGGCACTGAACAGATGATGGAGATAGTTTTATCACACTCTGATTTTAAATCTATACACATAAAAAAGTAGATATATTATGTGAATGCCAGTCTTACAAACAATTGTGTCACTCTTGGAAAAAACCAGGCTTCTTTTAACAAGATGTCAACAACCAAGAAATTCCATTTGCCATTTACAATCCCCAAATCATTCCACATTCCCATAGCCCACAAAATGTGGCTCAGAAAACTGCCATATGAATAGTTCAGAAAAGCAGTGGATGGTTTTCTTTTTTCTTGACTTTAAATTACAGTTTTAGTTTGTTAGAATATAATTGTTATTACAAATAATTATAGTTTTAATGCACTAATTTTACAGGGGCTCCCACTCAATAAAATAAATAGAAAGCTATATTTCTTCCTATCTAATTGGTTAAATAATAAAGATTTCTTTCATAAATTCTTTATAACTGCTATTTAAAAAACAGCACCTATCTAGTTATTTTACTCCTTGAAATTATAAAAATTGGTAACATTTGGCTTGTGAAATGTTTACTAACTTCAAATAGTTAATTAAAGTAAAAGGAAGTTCTTTTCATAGCTTTTAGTGAAACAATCTTTACTTTCTTGTTGGTCATAGTCTATATAATTTAAACTTTTATAGATTATATACTTAAAAATTTTTTGTCTATTTTAATTTTTTTGGATTTTTTTCTCTTTTTATTTTTTAACCATTTAAAAAATTAAAGTATAGTTAATTTATAAAGTTGTGTTAGTTTTAGGTATATAGCAAGGGATTCAGTTATACATATCTATTCTTTTTC